GCCCATTGTGTAGCTTTGTGCTTAATTATAAGCAAACAAACTTGGTCCGGCAAAACGGATAATCCGGCAAGGCTCTGGAACAAAGGGTGCGGAAAATCGGTGGTATATATATATATATATATATATATCAGTAATCAAGTGAGTGTAAGGAAGTTAAGTCAGAAAACATTAAGTTGGTGAAAGTGAAGTTAGACTACGTGATTGTTAGTTTAGCTGTAACGGGCGATATTTAAAGTAAGTTTCACAGTTAACAAAGGTATGGAGACATAAATGTTTTGTCGATTGGGTTTTAAAGTAACTGGACTCGCATGTGTGGACTTTTGACAAAAAAAAGAGAATTATTTAGAGTGTTACATACAACTGTGATAACTACTAGTGTAACGAATTTTTGTACATACGTTTGACATGTTTTGAATATATTATTTTAAAACAAGTGGATTGTATGCTGTCCGTTTATTGTTTACATTTATCGCCAACAAGTCACAGACACCCACTGTAAAGAATCCGGTCCTATAAAACTGAAAGCCAAACATAGTTCACATAACAATAACCAATTCGTTTATTTCTTCTTATTATATATCACATTTTATATCCACGTTTACTTGTAAGTTGTAGGCTTAATATCAAAAATAAACTTTTCAGCATAAACTCCGTAACTAAATGTAGGCATAATATAACAATAATATTTGAAGGAAATTTACACGATTGGTTAATTTCATTCGATCAATTTCTCTCGATTTTTTTCACACTGAATACTTCAATGGATTCTCAACCACTACTCAATAACTTCTCAGTCACTAAAAACTAGAAATTCTTCGCTGATTCTCGTATTTATAATGTATTCTAAATACTTCACAAAGATTCCTGATCGTTAACGTTCGCGAACATTGTAGTAATATTTTTTTTGAACTTACTCGATCTTAACGTTACGCGCCCTATATCAAAATCTAACAATGAAAATGTAGCTAACAACAATATGTCGGTTATAATTTCTGAAGATTTACATTTTAAGGTACCGGAAATCGAACCCGAGCGTTCAGAACCTGGTGGCCCGGCATGGCCAGGTGGTTAGAGCGCTCAACTCGCAATCTGGGGGTTGGGGGTTCAAATCCCCGTCCCACCAAACATGCTCGCCCTTTCAGCCGTGGGAGCGTGATAATGTGACTGTCAATCCCACTATTCGTTGGTGGGTGGTGCCTTCCCTCTAGTCTTACACTGCTAAATTAGGGACGGCTAGGCAGATAGCCCTCGTGTAGCTTTGCGCGAAATTAAAAACAAACAAACAAAACAGAGCATGGTATCCTAACCTCTAGACAGTACCGGATATATTAGACTTTCCTAAGATTGTTTTATATGTTGTTTGTTTTATAAATATAGCTTACAACAATATGGGATTGCTAGATTGGCCTGTTACAAGTACATAAGCCTAATGATAGTTTGTTCTAGTAAATTAATATGTAGAATTATACTCGGACTTTTGTCTACGTTAATTTTTTTTTCATTTAATTATTATTAGTTTTTCTGTAGGCGAAAATCAGGCTACGGCTCTGTTATTATTATGAAAGACTGTATTTTATAGAACAAAATCTTGATACTAATATGTAAAAACAAAATTAAGAGCAATTTTAACCCCTGGCCCTTCAATCGAATGCGCCTTTGTACGATCTGACGAAGAGAGAGAGGTAGCTCGAAACGTTTTTAAATAAAAATACTATAAAAATTGGCGATTGTCCAACTTATTATTTAATTTTGATATCTTTGTCACCTATGCGGTTTAAACTACATGTTTCTTTTTATAAACCTTCTGTAACATTACACATTGTTAAATTTCATAAAATTAAATTTTCCGGTACCGGGAATCGAACCCGAGCCTCCTGGGTGAGAGCCAGGTATCCTAACCACTAGACCATACCGGATGTGACTAAACTGTTTGTAAAATTGCTTTATATGTAAAATATATAAAATTAATACATTCATTTTTTCATTTTGTACAGTAAAATTCTTTCTAGAATTTATCATATGAAATATTTTTTGAAATATGTTTTGAAACGATAGGAGTTAAAGTTAATCAACCAATAACTTATCAAGTGCTTCATAACCCCTATTTAGATTGTGGACTTGTCTGAAGACGCGTGAAGGTTCTACGCATGCACAGCGGTTAAGATGGTGACACTAGTAACTAGAGTTATAGCAGTATAGCTGCATGCTAGCGGCTGTAGTGTTGGATAGGTGGTAGAAGTTGTTAGTTGAAAGTCGGTAATATGTGACACAACAAAGTAACGGTCTATTTGTTCCATGAAGGCTAAAAAGCGTTATCTATTAGTTTTATTTAGCTGCGCCTTTCTCATACTATGTTATTTCGGAGGGTATCGGTTGTGGGAAAGCGGCGAGAGTAAAGTTAACGGAATAACGCACAAGAAAGATAGACTTGGCTATTTGGATATCTTGGAGTCATACAGGGAGAAAGACCTTGTCTATTCCCCGCGTCTCAGCAGGAAAGAAAGGAGCCTGAGTACAGACTCAGTCACGTGCTATATGGACACATGCTTTGATTTTTCTAGATGTGTGGGTGACTTTAAAGTTTATGTTTATCCCATTCAGGACAGGATATCACCCGTTTACCAAAATATTTTAAATGTTATTCAAGAATCCAGGTTCTATACTGACGATCCTAGTCAAGCTTGTTTATTTATACTTTCATTGGACACGCTGGACAGAGACCATCTTAGTCCGGACTATGTGAAAAACATGCAGATAAAATTGAGTCAACAAGCTAAATATTGGAACGATGGTAAGAACCATTTAATATTTAACCTTTACTCCGGTACGTGGCCTGACTATGCCGAAGACTTGGGTTTCCATGTAGGGCAAGCTTTGATAGCAAAAGCAAGTTTTTCGTTGTCAAAATTTAGGCCACAGTTTGATATATCCATTCCACTGTTCCCGAAAAACCACCCCAAGAAAGGTGGCGAACGTGGCACTTTAACTTCAAATAATTTTCCTGTGAGTAAAAGATATACATTAGTGTTTAAAGGTAAACGCTATGTGCACGGTATTGGTTCCGAGACTAGGAATTCCCTGTATCACGTGCACAATAATAAAGACATAATCTTAGTGACGACGTGTCGACACGGAAAATCATGGAAACAGATGAAGGACGAGCGCTGTGAGGCTGACAATAAGGAGTTTGACAGGTGAGGGTATAATATTTAGAATATTCTAATACTATAATCAACCTGTTGATATCAGAATTTTTCTTCGTAGGATTGTGAACTTCATAAATAAAATTAAGCGGGAGTGAGTTTCGAATCTATGTCTTCTTTGAGACTAATAATGGTTGGAGACGGCTTGAATGGGTAATGAAGAAAACTTTAATATAAATTTAACATAACAGCAATGTACAACGTTACGACAACGTTAGGTTAGTATCTATCTAGTACGGTAACGTTACGGTTACGTAATTTCGTATTCGTTAGGTTTAA